AGACATCAAGGCAGAATCGACTAAGTCTGGAATTCAATCAGAGGATCAATGGACAGGTTCAAGGATGCGATGGAAAGAAGCATTCTCATCAATCCTCTGGACAATCAACACTTTAGAAGATTTTCCAGCACTGCATCCAAGCATGCAATGAAGATTTGAAGATAAGGATGAAATCATCATACCATGAATGACAGCTGGAGATGACAAATCAACAGCTGGAATTCGAGTTTATCTTATTGTTAATGTTTATCCATTGTGAAATATAAACCCTATATGTTAGATAGACGATTTGCTAGAAAGTAGCATTAGATAGTTATCTTTCTGTTAGCTTATTAGTATAAATAGGTACTCAGATCTATTGTAAAAATAAGGCTTTTACTCGTTGTTTTATAATTATGAATTTATAAAGTAAAACCTTTGAAGCTCAAAGTTGTTCTTAAATATTCTTATTTTATTCTTGAGACTTCATAACTTTCTTCATTAAATCACTAAAATTTGGTTATTCATAACTAGATTATTAGTGTTATTGAGAGATCTGGGATCAACATAGTGCTTAAATATTATAAATACAATCACTGAAAGTAGACATAGTACAAGAAGTTACAAGGAAAAGTGGATTGTTGTTACAAAGAGAAACTATTCTAGAACACTYAGATCTATGTAACTAGGTACATCTTCACCAAGGTTTCTTCGACGTAGGAATTCCCTTCGTATCTTCAGATCTACGACTCTTCCAGGCATGCTATCATCTATCCAGAGCAAGAGGTTAACCAGATGACCCATTGGACATAGATGTAGCTCTGACATTATCTGAAATCTGACTTCATCTTCATAGTCAAGGAATATAACTCCTAACTCATGTTTAAAATGCACAGAGTTGGGTGTATAGGGACCCTCATCTGGCAAGTCAAGATTCAGCATAGAAATGTCTGTACTTTGGTGACCCTTCAGGACTTAATCTAAGGAGAACCTTGTTTCATGTTCGTTCCTTAGGAATGGTCCATCATTAGGATCAGAGAGCTTGAGTTTTTTCTTCCCACCTTTCTTCAGATATGGCCTGTCAGAGACCTTGACATACCTGGACATCCTTTTGATGAGCTCGCTGATGGTGTCCTTGATAAGTGTCTTGTGTCTCGACTTGGATAGCTGAATGGCTTGTCTGATCTCCATTCATTCGTTGTATCTATAACGGCCAAGGTAGGAAAGGTACTCGGTAACAGTATCAAGATTGTCCCTGGTGATGAGCATTGAGACCAACGTTCCACCGTCTTTAGAACGTCCGGTGATGCTGACACTGATAATCGGGCGGGGACTGATTCTCTCCTCTATCGCTTGTCCTTTTCCACCAGCTTCAGGTTCTTCTCATGCTCAGCTTCTACAATAGAAAGAAGTTTAGCCTAGGCTTGGACAGCGTTCACCTTTTTCTTGGACTTTTTCTTGGGAAGGACCTTCTCAGCTAGTGACTTGGCTAGCTTCAAGTTGTCTTCAGTCTGCTTCTTTTGAAGCTCTAGCTCTTCTTCAGCCCTTAATGCCTTGAGTCTTTCATCTTCATACAAGAAGTCGAACTCACCACCACTAGAGGTACGAAGAGGAATTTTTACTCTAGTCTGGTCGAGTTACTCCTTTAGCTGAGACATCTGCTGGTCGGTAGAAGCACAAAAGACGGGTTGATCAGGTACCCGCTCCAGTCAACCGCAGGTAGTTGATGGAATATGAAGTTGATAGTTTGAGGTAATCACTACCTGAGGGGTAGAGTCTTCAAACAAAGGTTGTTGAGGGATATTGAACAATGCCTTCAAGTTTCGTTCTTCAGTGACCGCCTTGCCTTTCGACTTGGGGTCCTGGTTCCCTAATGGAGTAGATTCACCTTGCCTTTGCTCCCCCTAGGATGCAGAATCCCTGAGAGCAACTCCCTTGGTGACGGTTGATGGCTTTTGGTACTTGATGGTAAAGTCATCTTCATCATCATCATCGTCGTCGCCATCTAGATCACTTCTGGGGTCCAGAATGGTAGGTTCATCATCATCTTCATCTACATCATCATCATCACCAGCAGCAGCAGTGATGGAAGGGGCATCATCCCTAGGGATGGCATTGACATCCTCAACTGGAGCAGCTTTGGTGGTCGGGATTACAGGAGCAGCAACCGCTTCAGCTCTAAGAGCTTCAGCTTCAACTGCAACTGAAGCTGATACTGGACCAATGGTTTGAGAAGCAGTAGGAGCAGCATCGGATGATTCACCAGTGTTGGACCTCATCCCCCCTATCTGGCTAAAACTTGAGAGAATTGGCCAGAGAGTTTGTCCAAGCGCTGACGCTGGAAAACCATTATCTCCTCTAGCCTTTGCAAAGCGCTGGCTAGATTTGTCGTTGCCTCACGCATCTCATGGAGCTGGCCGCGATCACTGACAGGGAAAGAAGGTGGGATCACTGGAGCTGGTTGACAGACAACATCTAGGATCTGTTGAAGAAGGCCAGTTTGCTGATCAACGATAGCCTGAGCATCGTCAACCCTGCTATGAAGAACAACAATGGCATCGGCGTTGTCTTGAACAGCTTCTTGGAGAGTCTGGAGATAACTTTGAACTTCTTGAACGTCCGCCTGGATGGCAAGAAAGTTCGCATCAAGATCACCCTGGCGGGGCATCTCCTGGTGGACTTCGTTGATCCTGCAGAGGACGGTATCAACAACTGGAAGGAGAAGTTTGATGTCTGAAGCCATATCATAGTCATCATCAACATCTTCATCTCCTTCATCATCTTTCTCTATTTATTCCTCTTCCTCTCCCTAAGCATCAGGCTGATGCGTCGAAGAAGGACCTGCAAAAGAGGAAGTGTGAGCTGAAAGCTCAAGGTTAGAAGAAAAGAAAGGGTAGGAAGATGGAATACCTGAGGGGCCATCAGTGACATCAAAGGATTGTCACTGGCGTGAGCAAAGATGTCCTCGAGAGGATGGACATCTGTATGCTGAGGAGCATCGAGAGGAGCAGCCTCAGGTCCAGTGGTGTATGTCTCAGTATCAAGAAGGACGGTCGCTGATACATCATCGACATGTGTAAAGACAAAATAAGGAGGAAAAGAGAAAATGGTCGAGAAGAGACGTTGATGTTCAGCGATGGCGGCGCTGATATTCACACCTTCAGTGATTTAGGTCACTGAGGCGGTTGGGGTAGGTACCACTGATACGACAGTGATGGGAGAGATCACTGAAGAGCTAAGAGGGTTAGCATAAGACACCTCGGGGATAAGGCTAGTTTCAATAACTGAAGCCTTTTGAGAGGCTCCAGCTAGAGACGTGGCTGTCCCCTTGTTGGACTTCTTGGCTCTTTGAGGAGAACCAAGAGTTGGTTGAGAATGTCATTTTGAAGGGGTTTTGGTGGCTTGGCTGGACGCGAGGGGGTTTACCCTTGTCGTGGCCACCGGAGCAGAAAAGGTAATGATGGACACAATAGAAGTTAGTGCCACATCATTGTCCCTCAGCTTATGATCCAGAATCCTGGATCCAAGCTTGAAAACCTGAAGGTTTCCTTCTTTGGGGTAGAGATCTTTAAAGATCTGGGCAAACACCATTGAAAGGAACCTGGTGTAAGACACCACCATTTCTCGTTGGCGTTTGTTCAGCTTGAGCACCAGGTCATCGAAAATGACCGCACCATAATTTATATTGCGACGCTGAATCGCAGATACGCCTATGGTTAAGGCGATCCTAGAGGCCTAATCCTGACCTCCAGTTTTTCCACCCATGCATTGGATGAAATGAGAAAACAGGTATTGCCAGATGGCTGACATCTTATTCTTCTCAATCTTCGTCAAGGACTTCAGAGGGGCGTTAGAGTCCTTCTTCATTGGCCACTGGTAGCCAATGGCGTCGAGAAGCTCGATGATCTTGGCGGTGGATGGTTCGTTGTCGAAGGGGCCCTTGGGAAAATGGAGAGCCGACCGGAGTGTGGATACACCAAAGTTCACTTCCATGCGATTGAAAGTGAAGTTGATCTGCTCCGCCTGGCGTCGAGGCTTAACCTCGACTTCAACAACTTCAGCAGTGAGCCAGAACTGCTGAAGGAGTTCTTTCACCATAATGGGCTCATGGTTGAGTGCGTAACCCAAGGACGACTGTTTGAGGAAGTCAGCCGCGTCTTGGTAATACGCCTTTGAGGATGGTATCTCCAACAAGGCAATGTGGTTGTTGGCCTTTGTTAGGACTGAAATTCAGTGTAAAGTTGTATTCGTCTTGAAAGTTAATTTTGTCTATAATTGTATTAAAGTCATCGTGTTTGACTTTCATAGACATTTTGACTGTGACTTTGTCTTTATGTTTGACCCTATATAAAGGGTTAATTCCTTGTATTTTAGAAAGGATGCTTATTGTAATATCAGATTACGTAAAGAAAGTTTGACCATAATTTGGGTGTTGACTTTCTCTCTCAACTCTCATAGTGTTCTTATTGCTAGATCTGAGATTCTGCCATTAATGATTTGAAGCTTTCTTGAAGATTGATAAATTTGTGATCTACAATTGGTATCAGAGCAGGAATTGTAAGAAATCACGAAGAAGAAATCAGAGTTTTTAAAGATTTTTTGAACATTTTTTCTGGATTTTTTTTCTGTTCTTCGTGTTCTTTTTTTTTTCCTTAAGTTTGATCCGAAAAGTTTAAAATTTTGTGTGTTTTTGTGTTAAAATAGTGATTAATCTGTACGGAAATTCATTGTGAATCTTTGTTATTCACAATTTTTTTTGCGATTTGATCATTTTCTTTCAAATTTTAATTGTTTGAGTTTTTAAGATTTTTTTTATGTTCTTGAATTTTTTTTTTAAAACCAATGTTTTTGATTCTATTTGTTTTAATTTTTGTATTGTTTTTATGTCTTTGCTTAGCCCAACCTGTTTTGGCCCAATTTTTTTAACAGAAGCCCATCAATAGTTTGAAATCGGACAAGTTCATATTGCTCATCAGACTTGGTTCATCGAAGGAAGCGATTTAGAGACTATCGGTTTAGGGTTTACATATGAGACTGCTTGATCGGTTTATGAACTAAATTGAGCGGACTAGGTAGTTCTTCTCTTATAGCTTGATCGATTTAGGTCTCAACTCAAGCGATTTAGTGTTTGAATCGGTCACAGCTCAAGCGATCAAATATCATATCGGTCACTGCTTAATCGATTTAGGAATTTTATCGCAGATTGCTTGATCGGATAAGAGACTTCATCGCAGGCTGTTTGAGCGATTTAGGCAAATTCATCAGAGTTTGAGCGATTTAAGAATCTGCTTGAGCGATTTAGAAAACCTGTTTGAGCGATTTAGGATACAGTTTGAGAATTTAGGTCACAGCGTAAGCGATTTAGGGGTTTATCGCACACAGCGTATGCGATTTAGGGAGTTTATTGCTCACGAGCATCCGATTTAGACATTATCGCACAGTTGTTGTCTTATCCAATCGACTTTCATCACGGGTTGGTAATCGCTGAAAGGGTTTAACAGGTTTGTTCGATTTCAATCCATCACAGACTTGTTCGATTTCTCATAAATCACATACCGTCTTGACTGATTTGTTGTAATCTGTTTTGATTTCACTGGTTCTTTTTGTGCGTGTCCATTTTAATCGCTCATCAGCATTCGATTTACATCTTCATCGTTGCTAAATCGGACAGCCAAAATTGCTGGGCATCTCAAGAACAGATTTTGAATGAAATACGTTTACAAAATCTGCAACGGCAACTTGTACATGGTCTGCTTGAGGTGATTACTCCTAGAATAAAATTGGACAAAAGATTTTGTGCAGGTGTTCCATGAGTGGAAGGTGAAACCTGTGATCGAGGTACTTCTTTGCTCTGCTGATTGGCATAGGCACTGGATTAGTTGTTCTCATCAATATCTCTGTTGAGAACTTTGCTGGATGGAAGTACTCGTTGACTTTTAGGATAATACAGAGTTCATATGTGGTTGGATTTATTGTATATACCGTGATCAACTTGGCTTTAGTCTTTTCATCCGTTTTTATCATCACACAATTAGCCCCAGCAGCAGCAGGATCTGGTATACCTGAAATCAAGGGTTATGTGAATGGGATTGATACTCGTGCAGCTCATCAATTTTCTGGTTTGTAAAACATGGCAGCAGTGAGATAAAGGAACAGGTTTTGATTTGTTTCAATTAGTGATCAAGAAGATTTAGTGCGGACTTGGCCAGACTTTGCTTTCATTGCTTAAAACACTTGGACTCACATTGATTCCAGATTCTGGTTTACTTGTTCATTGTTATTGTTTTAGTTATTGCTTATCCGGATTTAGGAATTGTTAAGACTCTCTGTGATAATATATTCTGTTGCTGCTGCTGTTGCAGCTGTTTATGCAGATATTGTTGCTGCATTTGGTGTTGTTGAAATCGCTTCAGTTGCTGGTTCTGAAGAAGCTGTTCTTGCTGTTTCATATGCTGGTGTTGAAGCATAGTAGAGTTTTGCTGTAGTGTACCCATCCCACTATGAGATGACAATGGATTTATGTTTTCTTGTTGAGGACCACTCACTGCATTTTGTCACTGACCTGCTGCCATGAGTTTATTGTACTATTCTGTCCTGAATCAAGATTAGAATTAGGTTGTATGGAACTCATCATGTTCTGTTGAGCAGTTGAAGAGACTGAATTTTGTTGAAAACTCCTCATATTATTATGTTGCATTGTTGCCATAGAACCCTGTAAATTCACCGTTTGCATTTGGGAATTCATCTGATTTTCATGCGGTTGCACTTGTGTCAATTGTAAATTCACTGTTCAATTTTGAGTTTATGTTGAAGTGTAAATTTCAACAGGTCTGGTTGCATAACAGGTTGTTAGGTTTATCAATTTTTAGAGCTTGTTGCAGGTTCAATCTTGACTGTTTGTATCAGCATCATTTTAATCGCTTGTAAGCTTGTCCGAACTGCTATTTTCTTAGTCATAGATCATCCTGATTTCTCCCTTTTATCATGACATCACTTTGAGCATTATGTAATCTGGATAACAATCTGTTTTGGTTTGGGTTTGACTTATCTTGGGCTTAAATTTGTTTTTCTTTTGGGCCGGGTTAGTCCATCTTAGTGTTGGCTCTATAGAATTTTTTTTTTGTGTTGTAATTTTGGATATGTTTTTATCTGTTTTTGTGTTTTAAACTGTTTGAAAATCTTTGAACTATTTTTCCATCGCGTAAACTGTTTTTTATCAGTTTCAACTGTTTTTTAACCGTTTTTTTAAACAGTTTTCAACAGTTTTTGACTGTTTTTACTGATTTTCGACAGTTTTTCGTTGATTTTCTGATTTTCTCAACAATTTTTGTGTTTTTCTGTTTGTGTGTTTGAGATGAACTAATTTTGATTTCTTTTATCTGATTTTACAGCATTTGATTCGTTTAATCAATCTTGAATTTTTTAAATGGCATTTTTTCTCGAGAGAGAGAAAATAAAGAATTGAGGGAGAAAATTGTTGAATTGGAAATAAGAGTTGAGAGCTACAAAGAAAAATACATTAATTTGTTTGATGAGAACTTTGCAAGTAAATAGTTTATCAAGAATCTGCAAGGAGAAAATAAAACCTTAAGAGAATATTCTAAAAAGGTTTTATCAGATAAGACTTGCGAATTTGAGAAAACTTTGAACAAAGTAAGGAAAGAATGTGAAGAAGAATTGAAGACTTGGATTGATGCTAATAAAAAGTTATTCAACAAACTTCAAGATCTGCAAAATGTGAGAAATTCTTTTGAGAAAGTTAATCCAGAGACTGAGAACTTAACTGCAAAACTTAATAAATCTGAGAGTGATTTGTATGAGTTAAGGAATGAATCTGAAAAGGAGAAGAAAAGAGTTTATGAAAGAGAGAAAAAGTTTGAAGTTGAACGCATATCTTATGAGAATAAGATAAACTCTCTAGAGCTAAACGCAAAAATGATGTTAAAGCAAATATCCGATTTTGAGCAGTTGATCATCTTGGAACGCGCCAAGAATGATAAAGAGAAGAAAGACATCACATAAGAGTGTCAGAGTCAAATATATAAATTATCTGACAACATTGCTCTAAAACAGAAGACTTTAGATGAAGAAAAGAAGCAATTTGCTTTTGAGAAGAGAATTACTACAAAGAAACATACTGCTATTGCTAAAGAGCTTGCTGAAAAGAAAAAATGGCTTGACATCGCTTCTGAGAATGAGAAGAGCAGCTCAGATGAAAAGAGAAGAGAGTTTATAAATCAGAAGAAGAAGCTTGAAATTCTTAAGGAGTTAGAAGGTAAACTCCTGGACACTACAAAGAAATTGTCTGATCTGAAGACAGACCTTGAACTTGAAAATAAGTTTAATTTAGTTACTGTTGAAAGAGACCAACTTTTTACAGAAAGTCAAAGACTTTTCTTGTGCTAAAAGCTAAATTGGTTCTCCTTCTCAGTGTAAAACTAGCTTCTATGACTGTTCAAAATCGAACAGTTATTCAAGTAGCCCTAAATCAATTGTTTCTAAGAACTATTCTCGTTCTTCTAATTAATATTATCAAGGGTATGTTATCGGATCACCCAATAATTCTTCTAAGATTAAAAGCATTTGGGTCAATAAATCTGAATCTGTTTCATCATGTACACCTGTTGTTACTAATCATCTTCCTTGTTTTGTAAGATCTACTACTGATTTGATTCATCTTAGCAAGAGAAGAATCATGTGATCCACATGCAAATCAACAGATTTTGTGAACAAGAAGACATACAACAGATCGAGTACAGACAACAGTGATCAGAAGGACTGGAAAGGTAAGAACATGTATGATTATAATAGTTGGTATGGATCATATTATGTATATAATCATCCTGTTAATAGTGCTAAAAAGAAAACATCTACTAGAAATAAATGGTTTGGAAGTTACAACATACCCCAGCCCGATACTAACAAAATAGGACCCAAATTCATTTGGGTACCAAAATCTATTTGATCTGATTTGCAGGTGTGTCAATTTTATGTTGATCAGAATATCATCTCAGTGATGCACTAATGCAGAGGGAGTTGTAATATTGTTCCAAATAAGGCTTCTGAACAACACAGTTCAGGACCCGTGCTAAAAATGTTTCCATTTATTTTTTAAATTTTTGAGCTGAATCGAAATATTACTTAAATCTACTTTCTAGGGGGAGTTTCTAGAAAGTTCAATAAATGTTTTTTCGAAAATATTTTTTTTTTGGGAAACATGTACATTTTCTGAACATGTATTTCCTGAGATTTTACTTGCATAATTTCTCATCGATCATAACTCCAATACATGTTTCAGCTATTCTTCAAACTGTTATTATCACGTCTCTTAAATTAAAAATCATTTTCAGTGATAATACACTCGTTTGTATTCAAAGGTTAATTTTCTGATTTTTTTTCCTTAATTAATATACACTTCATTTTTTTTCATCAGAATTTGTAAATTCGTTCTCACAGATCTTCATTTATTTCTCTCGCATACCGAATAATCGGATCGTTGTCGCATCATTTTTTATTGATTGTTCTTAAAAGCCAAATTTCTTGATCAATTTTTATCTGATCATTGTGTGCTTATTTATAATAATATTTTTGATCAACTGTTTCTGATCAACTGTGCATAATGCTAAATTTAGGAGGGACTGAGTGTTTATCAGAAATACCTCTATGGAATGTCAGAACCGACAAACCTACCCAAGAGGACAACCATATCTGAGTGAGCTTTATATACAAAAGGGTTTGTGTGCTGAGACTAAAATGAAAATGAGAGGGGTAGTTGTCGTGAGATAAAAGAATTGATGAGAGTTGTGTCAGGATCAAAACAATAAACAAGATTCTGTTCCAAACTTTAAATTTCCGGGCATACCACATTATCTATTAGTTCTCAATTCTTTCGAGACTAATATTGAAAAAGGCAAAGCCCAGGCCAATTGTTGTCACAACCCCACCAGCAACTCATTTATCTCTTAACAGATAACTATTTTAATAACACTTGGGGCACGCAACTCACAATCTATCAATTTCTCATGCGGAGAAATTTGAAATTGAAATCAAAAGGATATATGTCCCCCCTTCAAGTCTTTTTGATCACGAATTGAGTCTGATAAATTTGTGTAGTCCACACGGTTTATCCTTTTTAGCATAAACAGAAGCATTAGTTGCTTTATCTGTCTACACTACACAGATTTTGCAAATTATATGTTATTTTGCCGAAACATTCATAGATATGCTATTATTAAGCTATCGATTATTGAATGGAAGACCTGGTGAGATGAGCCTCAAAAAGTCTCATATATACAGTACGTTCGTTATACTGAGTATATCTGTTATACTCACATGCCAATCTTTTTATAAGATTGAAAACAATTTCATTCGTTGAAATTGATTGTTATCTTCCCATTCCCTTTAATCTGAAAAGGTTAAACAAGTGGATTTGAAAAGATCTACTTACAATTTCATGAATTGACGGCTTTCGCGGAAAATTTTGTAACACCCCCAAATCCATATATTGCATATAACACATATTTCATACATAGAATACATGTTTCCCACAAAAGTCCATAATACAAGAGTATGTAATGTAAAATACGCAACTTAAAAATTCCAAAAGTACATGCTCTTGTATCCTAACATCTATGCTCCAAAACATGGCTAATTAAGATCTTCTCACAGCTAAGCACATAGGGAAGTAATTCACATTCCCTTATTACCATTACCTGCACACATATTTTTGAAAACAGAAAATGAGGGTTAGACATGAATGTCTAGTGAGGTTCCCTTTTTATGTAATGCAGGGTGAAAATCACCAAAACATTTTCAAATAATCCATTCCATGTAGCAAAGACTGAAAATCATATTCTGTTTCGGTCCATCGAGCCTCTGGTTCCAAACCATACTTGGAATATTTTTCAATAAACAGGACCAGAGCCCCTCTGGTCTCTCAACCAGAACTTCTGGTTCCTCGACCAGAGCCCCTCTGTTTGTACTAACCAGAGCTTCTGGCTCATATAATTTCTTATAATGTTCTTTAGTTAAGCTTTCAATCAATAAGATAGCATTTTTCATAAAAAGAGTAATTATGAAGAGTTCATGCTCGACCAGAGCCTCTGGTTGTACTAACCAGAGCTTCTGGTTCAAAAGACATGATCAACCAGAGCCTCTCTAGTCTGTTTTTCATAAAAAGATTCTAACTATATAATCCTTTTCTTAAATACTTCTTAAAATATGTTTTTGACACAAAATCTCTTATCAATAGATACAGAGTCTCTGGTCCAACTAGTACATTTAGTATGAACTTGCATATTTCTCAAATTAATAAACATAACCTTTTTGGTACTATAGTGAGTACCAACCAGAGCCTCTCTGGTTCCTTACAAGAAACAACCAGAGTCCCTCTGATTCCTCATAAAAATGAATATTCTGTTTCAAAACACTTTTAACCAATACCAATGGCCATATGCTAACTTTTCCCATTCTCAATAACATCAATACTATTATTTCTAATAAGAACAATATATTTGAGTTCTCAAATCACAAAGAAGTAAGGACTCAAATCTATTGTAGTCTTAAAAGACATAATAGTAAGAGCTATAATATTCATACACAATTACCACCCTTATATCCAAAGGTACCTCTCTCCTTGAAATGCCACCCTTATTCCAAAAGACACCTCTCCTTGATATGTCACCCTTATTCCAAAAGACACATCTCCTTAATATGTCATCCTTATTTCTTCTTTAAAATCTATGAACTATGTTAGGACTGAAA